CTGGAAAATTTAAGGGGTAGTTATATAATAATTTTAGACGATCTCGAGCGGTCGGATACTTATGACCGCTACTGTATCACACGACTTATTACGATGTGCTCGTTCTCTGTCCCATCCAGAAAGGTTAAATATTCACAAAGCTTCTTCTTAAAACCTTTCAACGTCACCGTTTCTTGGGTCACTGTCCATTAAAAATTCGCATTCTTACGCCCATACGTTGCGGTGCAGTGAACTTCTTTCGTCTCAATAGGGCGCTGTACAATTATATGTATATGTTCGTCGGCTGGCTGAGAGGTGAAGTGTTTGCTAATCTTCGAAAGTGGAAGTAGTTCCACACCACCAAGCTCTTCCTTGATATTAACGTTTATTTTTGTATTAACGAGGTTAAGTTTTTCATTTTCTTCTTCAAGGGAAATGTCGACTTTCCATAGCTTGAGTTTATCTGTAGCGAAATTATCGAACTCAGGTGCTTTTTTCTCCTTGATAGCGTTCCTAAAAAAACTAACTAGCTTCATTGTATCTATTTCAACTGCGAAAGCATTTTCATAAGAGTTTTCACCTACGATCAAACAACTGAGTGTGATAGTTGACATAGCGCTTTTATAGAGATATTTGGGTCAGATAAAAAATAGTGTTACGTTCCGGTGTGAGATAAAATTTATTTATGTTCGGGAATATTGGGCGTTAATATAGGTTTTTATGTTGCACAGGCATTGCATCACCACACGTGACCCACTTTCTCATGTACCGATAAAATAATAATACTTTATTTATGAAATAAAACGTTGCCGGTAGCCGGCCTACAATACATAAAATTGCGACTATAGCGCTGATACATAATAAAAAAAAATACTATTTTTTAACGCGAACATCTTCTAAATTTACTCTTGCTTTTCGATCATCTGTTACCAAAGATAATGATAGTAAGAACAACGCTCATTAGATTTCAGCTATAACATTATGCAAAGCGCCTTTCGGCTAAATTACTCACACAGCTTCTTAATGTAGTCCTCAAGCTCCAATGCTGGCCTCAATCCCATTCCGAATTCTCTAAATTCCTGTCTGGTTAACTTGAGAAATAAATGACCGGTAATATTTTCCCTCTCAAGTCTCGTAAAAAAGCCATCACTAAGTTCTATATGACTTAATTCAAAATCTTTCCGCAAAAAGTTGATAAGTCTTTCTGTTTCATATTCTTCTAACCTGTCAGCTAAAGTGGAGCTGGAAGACATCTTGCTTTCCTAAATACAAGGCCCATAGTGAGAAAAACTCGCCTCCATACATAACTGGGACCGCCCTTCTAGCATATACATACCTTATTTTGCGTTAGCTACACTAGTGAAATTATTTTACGAGAAAGTTTTTTGCGAAAAGTTGACTGAACTTCCACATACCCCTACATGCTTTATATATTGCTGGGAAAAGTTAAGGAGATAAGAAGAATGATAAGCATTGACGTATAATGCCAAGAGCTCTATGAAAGCACATGTAAACAGAATCCTCTTACCTTTTCACATGGAGATCTACCGGAGAGACATAGTTGGCTTTACGCCTGCTGATCTCAGAATTGCGACTCCACTAGCCTTTCATAACATATGCTTTTGTCAGCACTATTTACTTTTAGAGTTGGTCCTGTGTTGCATGTAGACCTCCTTTCACATTTTTCTCATGATTGTTCGGGAAAAA